GCAGGAATTAAGCATCCTCAGCGTCCCCTCAGGATTCTCACTTTACACCACTCACCGCACTTAACCTTGCATCTCTCTAGCATCTCCCTTCCCCTCTTCTCTCCTCTGTCTCACTCCCCTCCTCCATCTACCTATCTTAGAGATGATGTTTATTTGATTGATATTACATTGCTCATCCCTAGAAAGGTCTGTCCTCTATTCACCCCAGAGTGCAGCTTTTTAGGAGCCTTTGCTGAGAGTCTAAGAGTATCCATGCCACTCGGCTTAGTTACTTTTGATGACAAGGAAAGCAAATACACAGTGTTTCATCTGGATGAACTTTAACAGAAACTGTGTTTAGTCTGCAGGCTGGGGAAGTTCAAGAATCATTTAATTTCTCTCCTCTGTTACCCATTACACATACATTAAAGTATTTTAAGGCTAAGTACAACACTAATGGAATACATGTCTCATTTTTTAAAAGTTGTCCTGGTTATAATGAGTAAATAAATGTCATTTGTACAAATATTCTGTGTTTGGCCCAACAAACAAACAAATAAAAACCCAAACGCAATCATGTTAGGCCAAGAAGTTACATTTTATTACATTAGCCACATCCGTATTCATTCGGCATTTAATTCATTTTATAAACATATGCCTCTTTTAAGTGTTTTACATGTATTATACTTTGGTGAGTTGTGTCCGTATTCATTCGGCATTTAATTCATTTTATAAACATATGCCTCTTTTAAGTGTTTTATATATATTATACTTTGGTGAGTTGTTTTTTTTGTAATTTTGACAGTGCCATGTGTAAAAGATATGCTGAAGTCTTTTGTGCTATTTATGTTGATTCTTGTGATTTAGAGAGCTCAGTGGAAATTTTAGCCCTTTCAATAATGTTTATCTTATTGAAGAACAGGTCTCCTTTTTTGAGTTTATGAAGAAATGGCTATGATGAAGGACTTTCAGACTTCTGTGTAAAATCTTGTGTCTCCTAGGGAGGTGGGATCTACCAGAGATGTCACCCATCCCAGATGGAATCATGCCTAGGGCCTTGGAGTCATTTGGGAGGGACAAAGTAAGTATAACAGAAGTTCTCAGCAGAACTGAGGCTGAGAGGGGAAGTGAAGGCCACAGTCTCCCTTCCAGAACCTTCGAACAGGAGACAAACTCCCGCTGAGCTAGGATAAGCACCGAGCAACCTGAGGAGACAGCGGAGTCTCCAAGACTCAGCCGGTTGGATTCTGTTTGACCTCACTGACCTCTATCCAGAATTTAGTTCACATTGACCGGGAAGAGTAGCTCAGAGCCATTCACAGCCTGTAGACTGGAAGGTTGTCCCTGAGCAGAACCTCTGACAGTTGGATGTGCCCCAAATATCCTTCCCACTGTCCATTCCTCTAAAGGAATTTGAACACATCCACCATAGCAGATGTAATTTGCTCCTGAACTGGCCACTACAATAACATAAAATAAAGCATCACCTTCACACCGGGGTGTGACCACGGATAATGAGACGTTCTGGAGTGTTCGCTTACCTTCACTGCCACCAAGATCTTGTCCTGCTCAGGACAGAGGTTATAGCATTCAGCTAGGAAAACTTTTCCAAAGGCTCCTTCGCCTAGCTCCCTTTTCAGAACAATGTTATGTCGCTTGATGTGCTGAACAACTGTAAAACAAAGACAGAATGGACATTGGAATAGAGGCATGTGGAGCTGCAGGCAGAGGATGGGGAGTCAGAGGCTGCACCCTGAGCTTGCAGGCCCCCGGTTCTCTCCTCCGCACAAGGATAACCAGACGGGAAGCTCCGTGTCCATCCGCAAGGTCCACCCCAAAGGGTTGGAAGGTGGCGGCATTGGCTTGCTCTCCAGAGTGGAATTATTGTTTCTGATAGACCTAAAGGAACCACTGAGTCATTGGCTGCAAAATGTCATTAATGAGCTTTACAGACTAGGAAAGGGGAGAAATGAGAAGGGAATGGATATTAATGGCAGGCCTCTCACAAGCCAGATGTTTTGCATGTATTTGTCAGTTATGTGTCTGGTGGGAAAGGCAGACAGCTAGCCAGGAAGCCTTAAGTCTTTTTTTTTTTTTTTGCGGTACGCAGGCCTCCCACTGCCGCAGCCTCTCCAGTTGCGGAGCAACAGGCTCCAGACGCGCAGGCTCAGCGGCCATGGCTCACGGGCGCAGCCGCTCCGCGGCATGTGGGATCCTCCCGGACCGGGGCACAAACCTGTGTCCCCTGCATCGGCAGGCGGACTCCCAACCACTGCGCCACCAGGGAAGCCCCTTAAGTCTTTGTTAAACCCCCTCAGGCTCCTGAGGGAGAGAGGCTCAGAGGATACAAAGGGAAGATGCAAGACCTGTGCATTGCTGATTAAGGCTGTGTCCTCATCTCACTTTTCACCTCCTGCCGAGGTAGGCTCCATGGTTGAGCCGTAGTGACTCCTTTTGTTTAGACCAGAAATGTCTAGAAAAGGCTGGCTTCCTTAGCTCCTTTCTAAGATTGTGTCTTAGTCTTGGCTCTCCAAAGCTAAGAGGAGACAAGAATAGAAGCATCTGGGGAAGGGAGAATATTCCTCCCTCTCTTTCAGAGCAGAGCTGGCCCATGTCACTCATCCATGCGCCTTTACTGGGGAAAGAGGCAGGAGGTGGTCCAGGGTCCTTTAGAGCCCAGTAGTGTAAGGTGGGAGGGGAGGGAGTGATTCTCAGGACAGAGCCAGTGGAGAAGCCCAAAAAGAGACCGTGCAGAGGACGGAGCTGCAGTGTGAGCTTGGGCCTCTTCACCCAGCACATCAAGACCAGGGTTTCCACCAGGTCAATGGCACCGTGCTTTTCTGGACACCTCATCCCTGAATGGCAGAGTTTAAAAGGACTGTGACTCCCTCTAGAGCCTGGAATGTACAGCCGACAATATTCTCTCATTTGACTCACCACACTGGGAAGCATTCCTTCCTACATTTTATACTTGGAGAAACTAAGTCTGCGAGAAATTCAATGATGCATAGCATGGGGATGGAGGAGTTGGCATTTGAACTTAGGTCTGTCTGAATCCAGAGTCCGTGATTTTTCTTTGACACCACAAAGTTCCTTTCCAATTGTAAATTGTGTTAAGCATAACAAGAGAAATAGAAATATATAATTGACTAAAAAGTAAAAATAGTCTTCCAGCTTCCTCTCTGCTTAGTTCACTCTTCAAAGGCCAGTTCAAACTCTCAAGAGTTCAAAAGGAAATACAAGGCATATCTCCGTAGTTTTAATAATAATAAAGTGAATACCCATGAACCCACCATTCCATTGTAAGAAACAGAATATCACTAGTACTTTTAAAGCACCACTGTGTTCTTTCTTGATTGTACCCACTTCCTACTCACCTCCCAGGGGTAACCACTATCCTGTATTTTGTGTTAATCGTTTGCCTTATTGGTTTGCTATCAACGATGTATCCTGAACCAGAGATTGTTGGGCTTTACCTGTTTTGAACTTATATAAATGGAATCATACTACAAGCATCCTTCCATGTCTTATATCTGTCACTCAACAATGTCATTGTATTGAATTACATTGTGTGTGTAGTAGTAATTCTTTTGCTTTTACTACTTTATAATATTCTGTGGAAGGACTGTAACACCATTTATTTATCCATTCTATGTTGATGGATATGTTACACAGTTTCTTTTTAGATACAGCTTGATATAAAATGCAACTGGTGATTAAGGTTCTGTTTTAATAGGATTTTTCCCCTTATAATTCATGTGGTTTGGAGCTACGGCTGCTTCCATGGGCCTCTGGGAACTCAGAGTGATAAAAACCAAAAGGTCTTTTATGAGCAACATTATTAATGAAGCTAAGAATGTATATTAATTTCTCATGCTCCAGTAGCAATGATTGAATTTAAGAGGGAGAAATGTGCTCATTAGGAAGAGTGCCCATATGAAGAGACGAATGTAATTCTTGCAGAGAATTAGCTGCCCTATTTAAATCTAATATTTAACTCCATGGTTGTCACATGTTCATTGGGAATTAAATTGCCACTTGATTTACTTTACACTCCAACCAGATCAAGGCAAGTATTTAACTCTTTTTTTTTTTCACATTTGATTTATACTTTTCCTCCCTCCCTCCCTCCCTCCCTCCCTCCCTCCTTTCTTTCCTTCCTCCCTCCCTCCCTCTCTCTCCCTCTCTCCATTCCTTCCTCCCTCCCTCCTTTCTCTCTCTCTTTCTTTCTCTCTTTTCTTTGTTTCTTTCTCCCTTTCCTTTCCTTCCTTCCTCCCTCCCTCTCTTTCTCTCTATCTCTTTCTCTCTTTCTTTCATTCCAAGCAGTAAAAAAAAGTTGGTGGCAGATAAGTTCATAAAGCTATGGATAAAGCCACAACTTGGTCATCTTCAAAGCTAAAATTGATGAGACCAGTTTTCCCATGTTGACCTTGAAGGCAGTAAATGCATCTTTTCTTTAAGAAATGGGCTGTTTTGCATTAGTTTGTTTTGCTATGCTTGAGATCTAATAGATTACAAGAATGCTGGCCTTTTGCCAGTGTACTCCCTCTAAATAGAATTTCTCTTTTCTAAGACTGGGAGCCACCAAAGGGCACAGGTAACAATTTTGTGTTTGTATTTGTATTCCTGCCAGGGTCTCACAGCTGGTGCTATCCAAACATTTGTTGAAAAATGTGCCGAATGATAATAAAAACAACAGACAAATACTGTTTAGTTATATTATTTCAGTTAACTGACAATAACCCTATTGAGTATGTAGGCAATAAAGCAGCCCAGTTCTCCAAGATATCAGGAGTAGGCAGAAGAACTAGTCTGAAGCTATTACATCCTTGAGCTAAGAATTTCTTCCCATTCTCTTCCAGGAGAGCATCGGGACTTATCCCAACCTGCCTGATTGTCTGCTTCCCTCAATCAAGGGAAGTCCCTGGTACCCTCTCAGGGCCTCCCTCTTTATCCAGCCTCAAACCCACAAATTGCTCATAAGTGCCCAAGGCTGAGCCAATGCTCACGTCTTCACCTTCCTCACAACCCCTTCCATCGGTCCCTCTGGGCTCGCTCCCCTGTCATCCACAAGCTCCCTGTATCCTCAATCCCTCCATAAGCTTCCCTTTACCTCCTCGACTCAAATAAAACCTTGGCTATGTCTGAGGAAACTCATGCCCTCCCCCTGCAGCCCTCTCAAATGAAAGCCATCCCCACTCCTCACCCCCAGGTACTTCAAGGCCTGTGTGCCTGATGTGTGACCATTACCCACCCCACTCCTGCTAGAGCCCCAGCCGGCTGAAAGCATCTATCTTCGGGAACCATCAGCCTGATCATGTCTGCCCCCTCACTCTGACATCTTGGCTACTCCTCTCACCCACTGAGCTCCTGGCTCAAGCTTTCCCTCTCCATCCTCCCGATGCCATCATTCTCAGGGCCCGAGGCACAGAGGGCTGAAGTAGCTTGCCCAAGCTGTACAGACACTTGGCTGCCATTTGTCTTGTGTCTTTCAATAGTGTGGCTGAGAGGTGAAGCATTGGGAAGTTTGGTTTGGCTGTTTGCATGGCATTTAGCTGACTTTTTCTGGGAGCAAGACTTCCTTTTTTTTAATTTTATTTTATTTTATTTTTGGGGGGGGGACGGTAGGGCTCACCATGTGGCCTGCAGGATCTTAGTTCCTTGACCAGGGATCAAACCTGTGCCCCCCTGCAGTGGAAGTGTGGAGTCCTAACCACTGGACCACTAGGGAAGTCCCAAGACTTTCTTAATGAAGGAAGTAATGCACCGGTTCCTATTCTAGACAGTCTCACTGTGGACAAGCACTTTGAATAACACTGTCTTAAAGGGTCCTAGGAACCCTGGGTTCATTGTACACAAAATATCCTTAGTGAAGTGAGTCTAAAGATTCCATGATAAATAAGCTATCAGGTAAGCATGTTAAAATTTTTACATGCTTCATTTCTCTGAGGTCAGTCAATTCTCTGCTTTTAACTTTGGAGACCCCAGTAAAGAAAACCTCAAACCCAACATGAATAACTAATAAAAAAATAAATGAAAGCCCAGACTCTACCATAAATGGCTCCTTAGTTTTGGAGGAAAACTCAAAACAATAATTGATTTTTTTTTTTAAAGTTTTATAAAAAATGTATCTCTTTGAAATTCACCTTGCCAAAAAAAAAAAAAAAAAAAAAAAAAAGGAGTATCTTGAAGAGGTGTAGCTGGTGTAGGAGCGACACCAACAAACTCATGTGGTCTGCAGACTGCTCTATGTACGTTCATATAGTCAAAACAAAGGGTGTGATTAGATTATTGTGCAAATAAATCTACACTGTGGAATTGGGGAGAAATTGATGACCAGCAATAATAATCGTGATGAGGGGCTAAAAACTGTCTGGATGTCTTTATCACTAATGGAATTTTCCAGGGTGGAAATTTGGTGCCCTCAGTCATTTGCTTCCTAAGTACCAGAACTGAGTAGATTTCTGGTTTTGTATTAGTATCACATTACAGCCACTGAAAAGTGCATTTTGTCACAAAGTAGCTTCAGTAGTTTATGGAGATGCTTGTAGTTTCAGATGGTTTAAATCAAATTCCTGGTATCAATATCTCCCAGAAGTAAATATTCTATATTTATACACAGGCTATAGTATCAACCCATCTCTATATTCATTATTACTAAATCTAAAACTAACAAAACAAACAAATAAATACAACTCTACCCACTTAAGGTTGAAATCGGAAATATATCCTCCCACTTCCTCAGTAATGGGGTTTCATAGAGATCCTTGGCCTCCTGGATGCATCCTGCTCAGCACCTGGACATTTGAGACATTTATTGGGTCTCTAATATATGTCAAGTACTAAGTGACCTGCAGTTAAAACGAAAGATATTTTAAAGTTGTGAGTAGGATGGTAAAAAGTAATATACCCCAGAAGATAATGTTCTGTGTTAGGAGCAATCTTTCTGTTGCCCTACAGACCTAAATGTAGGGCCTGCCTCAATAGTTCCAATGCAAAGGACCAGATGCTATGATGGGAACAGAAGCTAAAGATCATTGAGGCTGACTCCCTCATGTTTGAAAGTCAGCCAGTGAGTCTCAGAGAGGTGAAGTAACTTCCCCAGGACCACACAGCTAGGAGACCAAGCTAGAACTCAGATACCCTGACTCTCAGAAGAATGACCTTGCACTCTGTAACACAAACCCCATTTGAGACTGCAGGCAGTGAGCATTCCCTGACAGTAAAGTGATAACAGGTATTTCATTTAGTTAATTATCTCTTCAACTAGAAATACTTGAAACATTGACGTTTATCATCTGAAATGGATCAAGTATCTCATAATGAAGAATTTCATTAGAAAATGGCCAATAAACATAAAATATGAGTGCAAAAAGCCGGATGTCAAAACTATGAAAAATGCTTGAGCTTGATTTTAAATGCAATTAACAAAAATTATTTACTAAATATCTTAATGTCTATTTCATAGGGAGCATACTGAAACAGGTTAAATCATCTACCTTGTAAAAATAAATTTGTATGAAAGACAGGAACTATGCTTTTTGATTTCATCTATATTTTTATTAAGATATAAATTGGGACTAAATTGAAAATAAATGCAATCAAGACCAGAGATATAACCACACCAGGACAAGACAAAGCCAAATATTCATAAATAATATTAATGATGAAATAAAACGTAATAATACTGAGCCATTCTTAAGCACTTTTCAGCATAAAATCTCAATGTGCATTACCATCAATTAATTTTTATATCCCTCTGCATGAGGTCAATAGTCACATTTATTTTATATATGACACCTCAATTAATTGACTACCTCGTGAGCAAGCCACTTATCCTTTTCCAAGTGCAA